TTTTTTGTATAGATAAACACGTGACAAAATAAACGGTTTGAATTAATGAAACGGTACTCATAATGAACTCCACTAACCAAAACAATGCCCTCCTGGACTGAAGAGAATCCACCTCCTCAATTTGAAACACTTTTTCACTATTGATAGCATTTTTAAATCAATAAAATATCAAGTTAAGACATCACATAGATTTGCCCAGAATCATTAAATAATTTTTTATAAATATGGAGAAAATTGTATTGATGGAATGGCGATTGAAGAGTCAAGGTAAAAGTGTCCTTTTTAAGTAACACATGCTTGATGTTTGGTAACGTTTAGGTTTTTAGTTTATATATACAAAAATTTTATAAATTGATTTTTGTTTATTTTTTGTTTATTTTTAAAAAAACATAAATTACAAATGCGTTTGGTAATTGACAAAATGTTTAAAAAAATTAAAAAATATAAAAAAAAGTGAGAAATGGCAAGTGGTGGCAAGTGGCGGCGAAAGATGGCGGTGGAAAGTGGTGACGATGGGTGGTGGTGGTGGGTGGGTAGATGACGGTGGCGGGTGGTGGGTGGTAGCGAGTGGGTGGTGGTGGCGGGGGGGGGGGGGGGGGGGGGGGGGGGGGGGGGGGGGGGGGGGGGGGGGGGGGGGGGGCTTAGGCTTCTATTGTTAATTGTAGCCTATTTAATTTATCATATTTGTCGCCAAAAAAAATTAGGTCGATCTGTATTTTTATTTTTAATTTATATATCTAGAAAAGTGAATTTAAAAAGTAAAAAGAATTTCTTAAAAAAATTCAAAAGGTCTTACATGTAAATCTTATAGTGACTTATTGTTTAATAGGTTCTATGGGAAAAATTTGTCATAAAAAAATATCATTAATTGTTAGTTTAGCGAACAATTTATTAAAAATCATGACAAAAAAAGTCACTAATTATTAATTTTGCGGAACATATATAAAAAATTGTCACAAAAAAAAATATTTTAACAAACAATTTTACCAAGACTATTTTCATAGAATTTGATTGGGAATTACGTTCAACTATTATGACACTATGGTAGTTTATCCAATTCAAAAACTGTTATTAAAATTTTACCAACAAAATATTTCAACTTCTCAAAGAAATGAATTTTTAATAGGCGTAGATTCTTATTGGGTGATGTCCACTAATATATTAAATACGATCAGATTATATAAAATAAAATGTTAACAATGTAAACAGGAGCCGTTAATGGCACGTCAAAAAATTATAGTTTTTGTTATTAAAGTTTTCAGTTTTAATTGTTTTATTGATTTTATATCATATTTTGGCATTTTTTTTAATTTTAAATACATTAAGATTAAGATAGATCTAAAAAGTAAAAACAATTTAGCTAAAATAAGAAAAGAATCACTAAAAATAAATAAAAACCCAGTGATTTTAGACCCCCTCAAACTTCAACCCCCACCACCCTCACACACACTGGCCGGTGGTGATGGAGGGAAGAAAAAAAGAAAAAAAGAAAAAGTGACCAATCAAAAAAAGAAAGCGGGTCAAGGGGTTGGGGGAAAGAGGTCCCAATCTTTATTCTTTAAAAATTAAACTTAAACACGTGTGCCGTTTGGTAACAACTTACACGTTATTAGTTTTCTGTTTATATTTACAAAAGCGTTAAAAAACTTGAAATAAAAACTTGTTTGTAAAATTTTGATTTATAAATCAGTGGTCTCCAGTTTAATAAATTTGGCCAAAAATTGAAACACAAAAAATGTGTTTCCGTTTTGAGTTTTGAGTTTTTTTTTTTTTTACCACCCAACACTAGCCATCACCGGCCACCATTTTCACCACCGTCTTCCGCCACCACCCACCCCCACCCCACCACCACCTGCCACCACCACTCACCACCCACTGCACACCACCACCACCCACCACCACCCACCAGTCACCACCCACCTGTCACCCCATCCCCACCACCACCCACCCTCGCCACCACCACCATCACCCACCAACCACCTGCCATCCACCCACGCACCCGCCCACACCATCACCGCCCGCCACCACCACCCGCCACCTACTTGCCACCACCACTCACCAGCCCACCTGCTACCACCAGCCACTCACCACCACACCACCACCCCAACCACCCCTACCACCCCACCGCCGCCACCACCACCCATCACCTACCGCCACCCACCTGCACCACCCACCCACCACCACCACCACCACCCACTGCTACTACCTACCACCCGCCATCGTCACCCACCCCCACCACACCACCACCCCTACCACCACCCGCACCACCCGTCATCTGCCACCCACCACCCCACCACCCATCACCACCATCACCACCACCACCTACTCGCTACCACACCACACCGTCACCACACCACACCCCACCCACCATCACCACCCACCCACCCACTAGCCACCAACCCACCACCACCGCCATACTGCACCCACCTGCCACCACACCACCGCCACCGCCACCCCACCCAACCCACCACCCCACCCTACCCACCCACCACCACTAACCCGCTACCACCACCACCACTCACTAACCGCTACCACCACCCACCTGCCACCAACCCCCATCGCCACCCACTGCACCGCACCAGGCCGACCACCTG